TTTGTATTGCAAGACTGCATATTTCCCTAACATTTTGCTTTGAATGAATCATTAAAATAGTGTAAAATATCTGGCCGTAGTTTTACTTTTATTGTACATCAGGAAAAGTATCATCTGTTTTCTGAAATATTTCAAATCAATCATAGTCTGTCCCTAAACCCAGTGACTTTCACAGCAAGACTGGGATTGTTGCACATTAGGTCCAACATATTGTTTGTTCCAGACTTGACTCATACTATTTTTACTTTTCATGTATTTTTTATGTTTGAATAAAATCTGCTAGGCTTGTTTTTTTGATTATGGCTGGTTGTTTTGATATCTTCACCTCCCCACCCAAAAAAAGCCATGACAGTATTTATAACTCACTGGAGTGGCATTTTTGAAACATTAGGAGGATAATCAATGCTGTAACACTCCGTCCTATCTCAATGCTGAAGAGTAAGTGTTCCATATGTACATGCCACTTGTGTGTGAGATTGTTGCCATCATCCTTCTGCTCATAGTTCAGACACACATCCTGACTCCTTGAGCAGAGGGTTCACGATTTGGAAGAGTAGAACTTTTCAGCAGCACTGCTTACCTCTCTGCATACCAATCAATCGAACCATGTCTTTATCAACATAGGCACACCTTCCAGCAGCTGTTATCCCGGGTTTCAGAGCTTCTTTGTCAGATATGAATATCTACCTTCAGTGTGGTGGAAGAACCCATCACCGGACAATTTGTAATGTGTTAGCCACCTTGATGCTCCTAAAGTCCAAGTTGAATTATCCAACACCAATTGCTTAATTCAGGTCCTATTGGGATGGATTTGACAAATAGACATGCTCCTGTAAAGCCACCTCTGCCTCTTAGGTGCTCAGTGATGAGTTGGTGAATGTTGGAGCCCTCCTGTGCAGATGCTTCCCCTTTTTGTTTATCCCAAATCCACTTTACTGCTTTGTCCTGGACTTCACAAACAGGTGAAGGAAACCCCTCTGGTACGTGCCCTGGTGCTCTGACCAACAACAACAAAATGACATTTGTAGAGCGACTTTCACGTCGGAAGGATGTCTCAAGGCGCTTGACAGTCAGTCTTTCGGACCCGAGCTGGAGCATGGAGGGCAAGGAGGGAAGGAAGGTGATCGAAAGCATGGTCGAACAGAAGGGTCTTGAGATGGGTCTTGAAAGCGGCAAGGGAAGGGGCGAGAGGCAGAGGGACTGCAGAATGGAGTTCCAGAGGGTGGGGCAGAGTGGCTGAAGGCTCGCCCGCCAATGGTTGAGGTGGGCGAGGTGGGTGACATGAAGCAGGCCGGAGCCCGCTGAGTGGAGGGAGCCGGTAGGTTTGTTAGGGGGTTAGAAGGTTGCAGAGGTAGGGGGAAGCAAGGCCATGGATGCCTTTGAAGCTGCACAGCATGATCTTGAACTGTATCCTCTGTGTGATGGGAAGCCAATGGAGTCGGGTGAGGATGGGGTTGATAGGGTCGCGAAGCCTGGTGCAGGAGAGGACACGGGCTGCAGAGTTCTGGATGAATCCTTGTGCATTCCTCAAGGAGCTATTTAGCAAAAACCTGTAGGCATTGACAATAAGCTACAATTAGTTCTTCTGTACAGAAGCTAATGGAGGAAAGCAATCTGAATGTTACCCAGCCTAGACTGTATTGCATTCCTCTCCAAGCTGGGGCACTTGAAAGATGTCTGGGGGTAGAGAAGGTGATTAAGGTTGAGTGCAGATCGAGAGAAGACTCATTTCCCCATTATCTACGACTGAGAGGTGTTTATGGCTCAGTGACCCATTGCACAAATTATTCAGTCAAAAGTATTGACTTTTACATATGTTCTATTTCTGCAATACAGCAAGTTATTTGGTGATGAGCTGCTATGGTTCATGGCATCTGTGCTCTAGTGTAATAAAACACTGAAAATGTAGCGGAAACGCGTTATCTTTAGCCAGAAGGAACGAAGAAGGACAAAGAAGCTTGTGCTGGTCCAATAAAGAAAAATGTTCTTTGAAGATGATTAAAGGAGCTAGGCAGGGGCTTGAAACAGTATCTTTATTTGAAGATGCTCAAAAGGGAAGGCAGTCAGCAGGTCAAATTTGATTTACTTCATGTGTAAAAACAACTTTTTTAACCTCTTCATGCAAGAATGTGTAGGAAGAGACTGAAGCTTGTGTTCAGGCTGCACATTTGACTTATCCTGTTCCTGTGGGAGGCAGGCCAAAAATATTTGCTTTAAAATACATGGAAGCTGATTATAATTAAGTGCCAAGAGGAATGGATCAAATACTTGGCAATGTCAGATGGATTACAATACTTTAAGCAGGCTGTACCACACACACTGAATTATTGTATCCATGGGATTACAATAGAACTGCCAGTGTTTGAAGGAGATGCTAATTTGTGATGAGGTCCGTAATGCACTCCCATGTTGTAGCCAATCTGGAGGAAAGTTATTTCGATCTCTATCATTAAGATATTTGCTTTTTAAAGTACATAACAACAATGGGCTGTTGCTGGAAATTAGAAGTTTATTTTAGGAACAGGAGAAGGCCATTATATCAAATAAACCTCAACTATTTTGGCAGACCAAGATTTTTACCATATCCCACAATCCCTTCTCCCTTCCGCTCCCACGAAAGTGCATCTAATTCCTTTTTGAAGCTCATTACTATTATCTACATCGATGGCCCTTTCTGTTATTTTATTCTACAAGTCTATTACCCAAAAGGTAAAAGGTTCTGCCTAATGTCTCACTTGATATATTTTACTTCCTAATTTTTAGCTTGTGTTTCTTGGTGTTTGAACCTTTCATTGTAGTGAAGGATTTGTCTGGATCAACATTGTCAATTCCTTTCATAACCTTCAGTTTCAATTAGTCCCATTTCAAAAGAAAACAAAACTAACTTTTTGTAACCTTTCCTCATAACTACAATTCTTCATTGTTGTTCTTAGCCTCCGTATCCCTTAATGGGTAACTTTCATCTGCAGAACTTTAAGTAGTTCTAGTCTTTAAAATATATGTAATTAAGTCAGTGAAATGGAACCTCTTGCAAACATCTTGCTAGAAAGCAGTAGTTACCTATAATTAAATGATGCTTTGTCACGACTGAGAGAAACAGGCATTCTGCTTGCTGCAGGCATTCTGTGCAGGTGTTCTCGATACATACAAAATATTAAGGGACACCTGCAGGACTTCTGGTGCTTGGGATATAAACCTTGAACTTCAGTGTCTTAAATGCTAAGTGATCTTGATGTGCTGCTCCTCTAATCTTTTAAAGCAGTATTTCTTGTGGTTCAAAGAGAGCTGCTGATCAATGTTAAGCTCATGACTGTTACTTACCAGTGATCTCTGTAGACTGAGTGGCCTGAAAGGCTTAACAGAGATGATCCTTGGAATCAAAAAAGTTGAGAAATACCAGTGTAAAGAACTAATCGTGGCTGGAATCGTATGTGTTTCGCAGGCTTTTACAAAACCAGTATTCTGCGTGGCTTTGAATGAGTCTGGGAGTGATGCTCTGTATGACCCAACAAATAGGAAGAATATGTTGCATCACTGGGTAGAAATAAGTTTTGTAGTGTCACCAAAATTGTAAATAGAATAAAAAAGGAAACATTTCAATGATTTGCACTTTTTACCAGCTTTCTCAGCTACAGTCACTATCGCCATAATTGTTGTTTCACTCAAGATCATAGTTTGTGCATTGTCGCTATCTGTCTCGCCACACTGTTACTTAGCATTAGCACCAAAGGGATATATTTTTAATAACGTCTATTGGCAAGTTGATAAAGATCTGGGTGGGGTAAAGCTCTTCAGTCTTGAGCACTCCAAGACTCTGTCCGGCATGAAGGGCGTTATATAAATGCAACTTTAAATGAGATTGAATAAATTAATCCAGATCAATACTTTTAAGATGTAACAAGACAGTAGAACAAGTGGATATAGGTTTAGAGTTGTAAAGGGCAATTTCTGGATAGATATCAGAAGATTGTTTTTACACCGAGATTAATTAAGCTGCAACAGGTTGCCTGGAAGAGGGTGGAGGCTAGGACACCGACTCATTAAAAAGCAGTTTGATGCAGTGATGAGGGGATGGTGGGTGGATGTTCTGAAGGGATGAGATTGAATTGGTGAAAGCCCTCCTTTAGATAGTGTTACAAAAAATCATTTTCTTCCTGTAACAAAAAATATTGTGTTTTATCATATGGAGACATTAAATAGAGCTTTATCAACGAGGTAATAATTCTCGGCAATGAAATGCGCATATCATAATGTTTCTTAAAATGCTAACAACTTTGTATATTCATTCTTCTCCACTTTTCTTGGAACTCCCTATTTTCATTCTGTTTTCCTGTACCAAGAGGGCAGATAACTCTCTCAGGCCTCAAATAATTGTGCTTTGAAATTTGTCTCTGGGTCTAATGCACTGCAGCGACATATTGTGCAATTGCTTTTCATATCTTCAGGAGATGATCAATCTGCGGAGAACAATTTTGCATTTTAAGTAAGGCCTTCATTCTTTGTGTGAGGAGCATCTATTTGTTACATGAAAAATTTGATTTTTTTTTACACCATTTTGAACTGCTAGGATGGCATTACTTTGAAAATAATTGATCTCTGTCTGCACGTTTTATTCTGAAGACCACACTTCTGCATACACAGAAAATCACAAGATTGGTCTGGATGAACAACAACAACAACTTGTATTTATATAGTGTCCCTCACGCAGGGTAGCGTCCCAGAGCGCTTGGACGAAAAGAAGGCCTTTCACCCAAAGGCAGGCATGCTTGATCCATGATTTGACTATACAAAGTTGTTACTATTTTTAAGAACCAGTGGGTGTGACAATTCTGATGTGAAGAATGTAATTTTTTTCCATTGCTGGTAATTATCACCTTGTTAATAAATTTGATTTGAGTTGATAACTGAAGACAGCTTCATGGCTGTGACTGCTTTGTCCCTAAAGCCACCTGCTTTATTTCCAAGTGAAACTGAAAAGATTTTGTACTATTTCTTCACAGGAGTTGCTGAAAGATCCCTTGTACATCGGACTAAGACATAAGAGGGTCCGGGGTCAAGCTTATGAAGATCTTGTGGAAGAATTCATGCAGGCAGTGACTGATAGGTAAATGTTTGCTTCTTTTTGCACATATGTGCTGGATGGGAAATTGCTCCAGTTGTTGCTCTTTCCTTCTTAGTACTGTCTTGCATTAAGTTCAATGATTTGAAGTTAGAAACAGATTTATTGCAAAGGTTGGTGTTACTTTTGGGAATATTGTTGAAGTTTTCCAGTCTTTTTGAGCCTGTCCAGAATTTATTGAAAACTTAAATTTCTTTTGGAAACTTGGGATCTTGTTTTTCCTATGCTTAACTAAATCCTCAGATTCTCAGTGGGTTTCTTTTACAGATGGAATTTGATTCCATTGTACTCTGGTTATATGTGTAGAAAATGTAATCAGATCAGTCTGCTTGAATCAGATTGAATCCATAAATTTCCTATTTAAAGGAACAGAATCTCAGTGAGTGTGGGTGAAAGTGTTCAATCAGTTAAAGTTGGGGCTTCAAAACTGGTTTACAAACTGCTGTGGTTGTGTCCTGCCTCATATGTTAATATGGATGCATCAGGCTTTTAATTTTAGGGTAATAGTTGCATTGTTCTGCAGTAGTTTTGTTTTTTCATTTCCTGATCCATTTTAATTGTTTCTTATTCCTGTAGTGTTGAAATTTTTCAATCAGGCAGCTCATGATTTTTATGAACATCATTCGAGTAATTATTAAAAACAATTTCCTCTCAGTGGAGACATACCTGGGATCAGATTCTATGTACATTTGTATCCTCAGGACGTATGTCAGAGCACTATTGTGTTGTAACAGAATTCCAACAAAGCCATAATGGGGTCTAACATCTAGATTGCATTTAATAAGCGATAATGTGTCATTTATGTGCCCAGAAGCCCTGGAGACAGGCTCATCTGACACTGTTTCCAATACCGCCAATCATGAGGACTTAGGAACATTGGAACCTTGGACAAAAGACCAAGGTCCATCTTGTCATATGCTACAATAATAATAAAGATGTTGACCAATCATGGCAATCAAGTTCTATTGATTAGTTTACCGCCAACTCGGACATGAGGTAAGGAAAATCCGCCAATAGCGGAAAGCTTGGAGAGCCATGGATCCAAAAGCTGTAAATTTAAAGATTAAATCCTTATTGCATCACTGAGATGTCTCAAAATACTTCACAGGATTTCTCTTCTCGTCAAGTGACTGTATATATTTACTAGTGAATGTGGCAGCCAATTTAGGCAGCCACCTAAAATGGACACAATGATAAAAATAAGACAAACACTTTTTCTGTTCTAATTGCTCACAAGCCAATTCTTGTGATGGTACTTGATTTGGGATAAATTCATATTCAAAGGCTTACTATTCAATTTCTTTCATACATTTATTTTTAATGAGTACTCCAGAAGTACTACAGTACTGCGACTAATAATTATTACATTTGATATGATGCCTTTCATGTCAGACGAATGTCTCAAAGCACTTCACATGATTTATTGTAAAGTGGAGTGACTGTATTCTGATTAAGACTATTTTCACATTTCACAAAATGATTTAAGGTACAATGTTTAAATGAACAAAAAGGAAACTTGAGTGAATGGCCTACTTTTTCTTCAATTACATAACTCATTTGTGACTGATGACAAACTATAAAGCTTTGATTGCTTGCCAGCTTGTAACAGCTATTTCCTTACTTACTGTACTGTGCTTTTCTAATTATTCTGCTTAAACGAACAAACATGCTACAATTTAGGTCAAATAGAACAGAAAGGGGAAATCCTTTTGAGCAGTTTTAACCAGGTGGACAACCATCTTCAATTAATTTTAAGCACTCTGAGATGCTGTCCTGAGTGAAGGGCACTTTATAAATGCTACTTGGTATTCAATATGTGGATTCAGACCTGGACTAATAATGTCTGTCTGAGTTTATAATAACTGTCAATAAAAACTGATGCATCTATTTTGTTTAGTTGTCTGCAAGACCGACTCTGATCCATTGACCATTGATTACTATTAACAGTATTGATAATTAATATTAAGAGTATTAATTTGTAATATTAATTGTATTAATATGTGTTACATAGCCACTACCACTAGTCTTAATAGTAGTTTTAATAATAAGTGTTACGTAGCACTAATTACTACTTTTATTAGTGTTAATACTATGTCTTGCACAATCAAAGTTTTGTGCACAGCCTTTTCAGAATTCCCCTTAGAAGATGATCGATGTTTTTTGGTTTGAGCTAAATGTTGTTAGTAGATGTCCTTCAATTATCCAGTACCATATGATGAAGAGATTCAAGGTTCAGTGATCTTAGAACAGACCATGTTGCAAATAATAGTCTTTCAAATAAAGACCGGAAGAGTTTAACATAACTGATCCAAATGTGAAGGTTTTGAAGAAACCATCATTTTGAAGAACTAGTGTAGCCAAAGAGTTTATATAGTTTTAACATCTGTAATTCAAAGACCTGGTCTGGATTGAGCTCAAGTATCAAGGAATATTGGTTACATTGAATACAAACTGTTTTTTGTTTTTCTGCCACTGCTTTGCAGTGTAACTTGATAGATTTGATACAAAATAATGACAGAATGCTATTAATCATACTCACTTGGAAACATTTTTTCAACCTGGAAAAATATTAAGTTTGCTTGGCGTAGTAAGCTGAAAATCGAAAGTTCATTTCCATAAATTCCATAACTATAGCCTTAATTCATCATAAAGCTTTTTTATAATGCAATGGCTTTGGCAGCTGAAAAAACTTTTGCAATGTACCACGTAAAACACCATCTTTGTATCATTAAAGAGTAATAGTGCAGGACAAAATTTAGAAAAAATGTTAAATATCCCCAGGCACATTTTACTAAAACCAAACTCACGCCACAGTTCAAATCATCACTAAAAGCTATATTTACAAGTGTAGTATGTCATGCTTTACTTTTTAGATCCGAGTATTCCGAATACTGACCTAAATTGAAGTACCCCAGTAGGCGTGTTTTTCCAGGGTGGGCAGGTGACAATTTAATGTGCATCCTTCGCGGGCGTTCTCAGGCGCTAAGAGCATCACTATGCATGGACTCACTCTCCACCTCACCAAGCTAGTGTGGAAGCTTCGTGTCTAGTTCGACCCTCAATTGTCTTTTAAACCCCACATTCATTCCATTACTTTTTCTGCCTTCCCTCAGCTCTGCAAAACTGCCTGCCTCTATCTCTCCCCTCGGTCTGCTGAGACCCTCATCCATGCCTTCATAACATCCAGGCTAATTCCCTGCTCTCCAGATTTCCCAACACTTTCCTCCATAAGGTGCAGATTATTCAGAACTCTGCAGCTCGTGTCCTCTCCCACACAAAGATCCGTGAGCCAATCACCCCCATCCTTGCCTTGCTTCACTGGTTACCTATCCCCCAGATGATTGAGTTTAAGATCCTCATCCCCACTTTCAAAGCCCTCCACTTGTCTCACTCCTCCCTACCTCTGCGACCTACTAAATCTTTATCAACCTGTCCTGCTCGCTCCACTTGACGGGCACTCACCTGCTCCAAGTCACCCACACTGCCCTCTCCACCATTGCCGGTTAGGCCTCCCACTTAATTGCCCCGTCCACTGGAACTCCATTCCGGAGTCCCTGAGCCTTGCCCCCGCCATTGCCTCCTTCAAGGCCTTTCTCAAGACCTTTCTCTTCGACCATGCCTTCAGTCATCTTCCCACCCCTACCCCCTTGCTCTCTACTTCTCTTGATTCTAATCCCAGCTCAGGTGCATACCCTTCACTATCCAGTGCCTTGGGACATCCTTCCAACATGAAAGGTGCTATAAAAATGCAAGTTGTTGTCGTGATTTCAGTTGCACCAATTGGATGATTTTCCAGAATTTGCGCTGTTCCATGGTTCTTTATCAGCAAAATTCATGCCTTTTGCTTCTCTGAACAATTATGTACATTAGCTGTGTAGTTTGAAACAAATTCAAGCTAATACTGCAACAAGTCAATTTTAGTCTACTGCTCAATTTGAAAATGTTTTCGCTTCAGGTGGATAATAATGATTAAGTTAAAGAAAAAATTGAATAATGGCCTTTGTGTTTAAGAATACTCGTATGTAAAGAGAAGCAGAAAATGATTTGCAGATGTAATCGTGCATCTCTGTTTTTCTGCTATGTTGACTCCCATAAACTAAGTGCACAATTTTAATAATATTCCATCCAAAAACAAAAAACAATAATAAATCGGACATTTTCAATCCACGACTGTTTGTGGGACACTGCTGTGCACAATTGACTGCTGCGTGTCGCCCACAAATATATAGTCAATTCACTTTACAGTCTATTCTGTGAAGCACTTTGAGACGTTGAGAAGACGTGAAAAACACTATCAAATGCAAGGATTATTATTATTATAATGATTCAATAGATGCTAAATTGGGCAATTTAGGTGTTTAGCATTTAGACCTGTAGCTCAGTGGTTAGAGTATTCATCTTGCAAGTGAGAAACCTGGGTTCGATTCCCGGCAGGTTGAAACCTTGGGCAAGTTTCCTTCCTCCACATGCCTGATAATAATCCCTCAAGTAAAAAAAAATAATAAATTGGTCACTTCAGTCAACAACTGTTTGTGGGACACTGCTGTGAGCAATTGGCTGCCGGTTTCGCCCACAAATATGCAGTCAATTCACTTTACAGTATATTCTATGAAGCGCTTTGAGACGTCTAGAAGATGTGAAAAGCGCAATATTAAATGCAAGGATTATTATTATTTAAAACAAATCGAAATTAGCAACACCAGATTAATCACATGGGATTGCTTTCATTGTAAACAAGGCCACTCTCTGTATGTTGCAGGATACTTTTAGCTTCAGTTCATTTTGCTTAACTTAAGTTGGAAAAATTCCCATTGCTAGAGTGAAGAATTGAGACCAGCAGGTGGAATAATGTATGTCTTGGTGAGAATGTAGTGTAAGCCGAGATGGACATTATGCTGCTATTTCCCTTTGTGGAGTCTTGCCAATAACGTACTGTCAGTGCCAGGTAATGTAGCCAAATATTTTCTTGACAGGTTCTGGTCAAT